CCAACTTTCAAGCTTCATAACTCAAGATTTATTTCATACAAAAATATTTTATTTATGTATTTTGGAAAGTTCTCGAGGCGTGCTATAACAACATGTTATAAAAAATTGGGGGTTCCATTTAAAAAATTCAAAGTGACCTTGTCCTGACCTTGACGACGCCACTCAAGGTCAAACCAATGTTATCATCTTATGTCCCCCTCGAAATCCGAAAACTTTGGTCTGAAACATTTTTTCCTAGTGTGCTTATTTTTCAGATATTTGAAAGTTTCAGGTTAAAAAAATCACCCTATATATAATATTATCGATTACAATATTTGTTAAAGTACATACGCCATGACTATAATTTGGACGTAATTATAGTCTACAAAAATGTTTAAAACTACAATGGAGTAGATTTTAAACAAAAATGTTTAAAATCTATTGCATTGAATCTTTTTATTATCCGACTATTTATCAGTTTCCATAAAGTTTTTTATTCTAAATTAATATTAATGATGTATGCTCAATAATAAATAAATTACCAGCTCGTTATATATAAACAATAAAAAAGACAGGACAATAGGCCAAAGACGAGCATAAAACAAAGGATGTCAATTAATAAAAATTCTTTAATAAGTCATTTAAATAAAATTAAAATTAAAAAAACGCGAGACTAGTTTCGGCTTACTTAGCCTTTCTCAATCGCTATTATATGATACTACAAACTAAACCGAATCCACGCATATGGAAATTTAAATAAATGTCGAACAGATCTTATTGTCCTCTTCTTCCGACCAAATATAATTCCATATTAGATGTTTAACATATCGCTTCATTATACAAACGATGCTTCACCAGCGGATTCTTTGAGGATCGAACACAATTGACGCGTTGACAATACGCGTTACATAAATTCACGATAACTGAGACTGCGATTTAAACACTTACGGTAACGTATAATATTAAGCTTCCAACAAGATGTTATGTTACCGAGGATCTATTGCGGACTAAAAGAAGAGCGTCAAACGTACAGATATTATTGGTCAAATCGATAGATTGTTTATATGATGTAAAATGATGTCGTGGAGACAAACATTAAAATTTATTTACAATTCTATCTAACAAGCTGAAATATGTCTCATCTAGCATCTCGGTATCTTCATTAGAGTTAAGACCATTTTCTGCGCTTTGATATAGATTTCGGAAACAAGACGTTTGTGATGAATAGGTTCCGAATCGAGAATTGTCGTATGTTCCCAATCAAACGTATGACTCGATTTTAATATGTGATTCGTAATTACCGAGTGTTTCGAATCATCCAAAAGAATATTTCTCTTATGTTCCAAAATTCTTGTTTTCAACTTTCTCTTCCCACATATGTGGCGTCACAATTATTACAATTAATTCTATATACTGCATTATTATTAGAATTAGTAGAGACCTTGTCTTTATGTCTCTTTATAAGTTTATCCAGCTTATTGAGGCATTTGAACCCAACTAAAAACTCTTTCTTATTTATAGCCGAGGCCACAATTTCTGACGCATTTTTTATGTAAGGGAAAGCTATGACCCTCCTATCATCCTCACTCGTTTTAACAGTGTAACTGTCGTTCAGTTTAGTAGAAATTAGACTCTTTATTCTATATTTAATTTAATCGAAAATTAAACTCAAAGGATATCCATTATTAATTAACATGTTCACCACTCCAGATTTTTTTGATGGAATCTGGGGTGAGACAACATAATAGCCCTATCCACTAGCCTATATATCGTACCGATCTTGTGGCACATCGGGTGGCTTGACAAAAAAGAAAGGTATCTGCCAGAAAATGTTTCTTTATGGTACCAATCTAAAACAAACTTATTGTTGTCTCTTATTATTTTAACATTCAAAAAACTGATCTTTCTTCTCTGATCTTTCTCAATTTCAGCGGTGAACTGTAGCCTCTCATGAAAACTATTAAATGTATATAAAATATCATCAATCCGTTCCCTCGGCGCAACCATCAGGATATCATCAACATACCGAAAATAAAAAGACAATTTTATTCCGATACTGTCGAGTGCCCTCATCTCCAGATCCTGCACAACAATGTCTGCAAAAACCGGAGAAGACGAGGAACCCATAAGTGCACCGTGAGTCTGTTTATATATTTTGTTATCAAACGTGAAGAACGTTGACGTTAAGACGAACTGTATAGCTAAAATGAATTCATTTAAAGATATATTTGTTTTCTCGGCTATAAAATTCCATCTATTTTTGATGCCTTCTAAAACCAGATCCGTAGGAATGTTTGTAAAGAGAGATATAACATCTAGAGAGACCAACAATTCCCCACTAGAAATTTCTTTGTTAGACAGTATATGATATAATTGAAAATTATCCTTAACATAGCTGTCTGCATGTGGTAGGCTATTATAATAAAATATTGTGCAAAAACGAAGTAAACGCGGAGAGTGCCGTATTTCTAGAAGAGACAATTATTCTCAATGGACAACACTTTTTATGGATTTTGGGAAGGCCATAAGCTTTCGGTAACAAAGCATCACTCATTTGTGCTTGTCACTCAGCTGACTAACGTTCCGCCAGACATCGCGGTTTTTATACATTGACTCAAGATGTAATATGTTTTTCCTCCGATACGATCCGTTTAATTGTCATCTGAGGATGGGATCACGTGTTTGCGAGTTTCCAACGAACGATCTCACATCGAGCGAGAAGCGACCTTCGTGCGAACGGAAAGAACAAACCGCTAATGTAAAGTAGGAATAAAAAAATTTTTTTTGTATTTTTACCCACTGAAGATGGCTCAATGCGGAGCCGAAACGTTTGGGTGATAATTATTATTGTTAAATAATTATTATTGTTAAATAATTGTAATTTAGCACTAACTTCGTGCAAGGCTCACTAGCCCTTCATTTGATACTTCGTTAATAGTTGTA